TGTTTGGGCTTGTTCTGGGCTGCACTGTGGCCCCACACAATTCCTGTGCTGGAGTCCTCATCTCCCGCACCTCGGAATGTGACTGTATTTGGAGTCAGGGTCTTTACAGAGGTGATCAAGTTAAGCTGAAGCTGCTATCGTTAGGGTGGGCCCTAGTCCAGTATGACTGGTGTCCTTACGAAATTGGGACACAGACGCGCACAAAGGGACAAGCCTGTGAATACACAGGAAGGAGGCAGCCATCTCTCAGCCATGGAGTGCAGCCTGGGGACAGAGTCTCCCTCACAGCCTCACAAGAGCCCCGCCCTGCTGACACCTGATTTCCAAAGGCTGCCTTCCAGAACTGTGAGATGGTGAATTTCTGTTGGTTAAGCCACCCAGCAGCCCTAACAGACTAATGCAGGCCTTCAAACCAGGTGTCAATGGTAACAGGTTGGAAGCAAATACACTTTGGGACCCAAAGGGCTGGCCATCTATATCGCCTTTTCTGACCAGAACTGGAGATGTCACAGTCCTAAGTAAAATGCTGCTCCTAGGCCTTGTACTTTGGAAGACGTTCTGAAGAAGGTGGTATTTGTGTGTGTGCACGTGTGCGTGCGCACAATTCTCAGCGACACTCATGATGCACAACGCCTTAAGTCCTAAGATCTGCTCAAGAGATGCACCGTCTCATCAAAGGGCCGATGTGCAGAGCCCGATCGTTTTCTACCACATTCTGACACTTGCCAGCTTCCATTACTCAAAGATTCCAGAGGCTAACTCCGAGGCAAACATAACTGTCCTGGAATCGCTTACTAGTTTGGAGTTCAAACACTGAGATCTGAGGATGTTTTAGTCCCGCTGTTCTCGCCGTTCTGCTGACGCCTGACCGGGTGTCTGTTCTCAGCAGACACACACGGTTATCGTGCCGGTCACAGGGAGTGGATCACTGCCTGGGGACAGCCAGCGGCTTAGGCGGCCCCCAGCTTGACTCTGCCGTCCCTGACCAGCCGGTCACGACCGGGTCTCGCTTTCCAGCGCCTTGGCACTCATTGCTAGAATTAGAACAAGACGTATTGATTTCACCTGGCTGTGTGGAGCTACAGTTCCCTCCCCTGTACAGAGACCGTCAGAAGAGGGGCACCGAGTCGGGTGAAGCAGCCTCGGCGCTCGCTTAGCCGGCGGGGGCCCGGGGCGGGGTGCATGGTAGTTAGCCACGGTGGCTGCCTGCTGGCTTGCGTCGTGCGGCTGGCTCTGAGAAAGCAGAGGAGGAGTGAGGAACAGCTTTCCAAGAGCCATCTGGTTCCCTGCCCCTGGTGATGTCTAACTAAGGAGACACTCAGGAGGTACGGTGATGAGAAAACAGAACTCGGAGTTAGAGCCCCCTCGAACGGCTTTTTGGGGACCCTTCAGCTCGAACAACTGCAAATAGAGGGTCTCTGTGCAGTCATTCAATGATCCCAGGCTCCAAACCGGGTGTATAAGCCAGGGAACTCTGTCGCACTTCCCGGGCTAGGCCCCTCCAACTTCGGTGCTAGTGAGCCTAGGCTTCCAGAGCCTGTTCTCGGAAATCTCCGCAAATGAGTCCACACGTGGGGCTACCTACTAGGTGCAAACACAGCGCTCACACTGCAACTGACCTAACTTTCCAGACCAACATCTTACCGCTTCTGAATGTGGAAAATCCTACCCTAGAGCTAGGGATCTTCTTCTTTTGGTTCAGTAAATGATAAAGGATATATATATATATATATATATATACACACATATATATATAATGGCCCAAAGTTTTAACGTTTTCACCAGTTCACTTTAGAAGTATGGGAATTTTTCATTCAATTGCAGAAAATCAAAAGAATTACCAAAAATGTCTCCATTTAGTCAAAAGAAGGATTAGTAATAGACAATAAACAGGCAAGACAAGTGTGTCACTATCTCTGTATAGAATACATCATACAAGCAACATATATGAATTTCATTTAAAACAACCACAAAGCAGCACTGAAGAGACTGATAACATGGGCCAAACAGTCAGGTAAAGGTCTCGTGAAATGACTGAATTTATCGTATCATGTGATAACCCCAAACTTTTTATTTTGTGCACAAAACTGTCAAGCAAATCTTTTGTTACTATTACCAATGAAACCTTTAAAAGATTTTACGATTTCTCTGAAGGCACAGAAACAAAATCAACTTAGTGTATCCTCAATTCAGAAAGTTAAGCTGAGCAGTTATGCAAGAGGAAAACAAGCCTCTCTTAACTTTGTCGCTTAAGAAAAACGAATCCTAAAAAAGAAATACCAACAGATGGAGGAACTGAACTAGAAGAGAATGATTCTTTCTTTTAAACTAATTATTGGTTTGGTAGCAGTCCCGGCTCTCTTTGAATACCTAATCAGGTACTTTGATTCCTTTCCCAAAGTCTATTACCTTTAACTGTGGAAATAATTTGGTAACTACAGTATGTGCACTGAACAATCTGTAGGCAGGGACTTCATAAAAGGAAATGCTCAGGTCCCCGAAACACTATTAGAATCCCTTTGCACACAGAATCTTGAAGCATTATGACTTCATTCCTCGTACTCTCACACCGCATTCTGGAGAGGTTATGTGTATCCCATGCCAGTGTCTTTTGGGTGTTGAAGTCAGCGCAGAAAATGCAAAGAAATTGAACTGGTGTTTTCATAAGTTGCTGCATTCTTCCCTTCAGTTTATATCTTTCATACACTAGAATTTAGAACAGTTGATAATACCATATGCTTGCTGGAGGGCCCTGAGTTCAATTAAGTGAGATTTTGAAAATAATAAATAAAAATGTTGATAATTACTTTCAACACTGAAGTCTCTAGCTTGCAAACTGTGTGCAAGACTCTTAATTTGAATTATGTAGGAAAGGAATATAGACCCAAGGACCTGCTTATTTTAAGAGAAGTGCACAGGCATGCATGCAACTATTATGCATAACATTAATTTAAACATGGAAACCATTTAATTTACAAAGATATATCTCTTTTTAAGAAACTTCCTCATTTCCCATTTGAAATCTTTATTTTCCTACATCTTTCAAAATGTAGGCTGTGATCCAAGGGATGTCTAGGATCTCTTCCAAACCTAAAATGTCATGATTCTGTGGCTCTATAAGGCAAAATGATATTCCTCTTCCCCTGGTCCCTAAACTCATCTCACTGTGGAGAATGAAAGAAGGTAAGAGACTGTTCCAGAGAGTTCTGATTAGCAATGATTTAAGAAATAGATAACAAAGGCATTTTGCAGAATATTCTTCCACATCATTTGTATAAATCCTGTTCAAAAAATAAAGTGCCCCCCCATTCCTGTGGCTCGTATTAAATTTCAGTATCTTACATCAGAGCCAGCATTGAACGGAAAGAATTCAGAATGAACCTCTCACGTTAAAGCATTAAAGCTCTCTCGGTTAAAGATGTCTTTCCAGAGCTGTCATCTCCATCCTTTTCCTAACTCAAGAAATAAGTGGAACCTAAATCCCAGAAAAGATAGTGACTTGGCAACAACAGACTTCATTCTTGACCTAACTCCTCCACTGGAGTTAGGATGCTCTTTGAGTGGAATCCCAGGGGCTCCACCTTCAGTGAACTTGGCAGAACAAGCATGATTTGATCATTGTGAAAGACCCTGCAGTAAAAAGGACAGAGGCAGGTGACAGGGGGCTGATGGCTTCTGATAATGAGGGCTGCAGAATGATCAAATCGAGAGGTCATTCAGGGTCTTCTAAATAAAACAATGATTCTCCATAATTCTACAATTGCCCATATAAAAATATGATTTTATTAGCTGTTTACTATTGATCCGGAGAAAACATCAACCAACTCAAGCACGATCAAGAGCACACAGTGTGGAAAGACAAAACCATCAGCCAGGTGGGAACACATTTCAGCAGATCCATTCATTCTTTGCTCTCAGGTTCCCTGGATTTCTTTTGGTAAAGCTGCCATCTGGCGCAATAGGCAAGAAGACTCAGGCATTCAGCTCCCGCCCCCCTCCCCTCGCCCACATTTCACCGCTTAGTTAAAAATCTTTAGCCCTGATTAAGGATTCAACTCCTGGAGGCATGAGGAAACCCAGGGAAGAAACAGATCTGAGAGAGACCAGGAGCAGAGGTGATGGTTCTGGAAGGGGGCAGGGGCCAGGCATTTCCTTGACAGAGTCTGGCCTTGTCACTTAAGGAACCACTCAAACCACACCTCTGCTTTTCCAGTGAAATTTCTGAAGAGCACAATTTTCACCTTTGCCCTAGATGCTGCTCAGAAGGAGCCAGCAGAGCAGGGGAGCAGATTCACCAGCAGGCCGGGTCTCCGCAGAGCACCCCACCTGCACAGCACCCACCTGAGATGTTGGGGAGGAGGCCTTCCTGTGTGTGTGTGTGTGTGTGTGTGTGTGTGTGTGTGTGTGCGCGCGCGCGCGCGCTCTGGCGCGCACAGGCGCGGGGAGGGGAGTGATAAAACTCGCTTGGGCATTCAGATCCTGAGGAACATGTAAAGTTGCACCCGCAGGAGATTATGGGGGTCCAAAATGGGGAGAAGCAGATGAGGGGCAAGGGTGGGTGGGAGTGGCGAGCAGAGGGGGAAGTTAAGGGGGGCTGGGAAGGAGGAAAGGGAGAGAGGGAGCAGGAGATGGGGGGAGATGGTGGAGGAGAGAGAGGTGGCTGGGGAGTGGAGAAAGCCATAAAGGACAGAGGTTGCAGGGATGGGGAGCGAAGGGAGACGGGAGGGGTCAGGCGCCCAAGAAACGGGGGGAGAAAGGCAGCGCAGGGCCTGGGGGGAAAGCCGGGCAGTAAGCGGACGGTCGCCGCGCCGAGACAGGGAGCGCGAGCGCGGGCGACACCCCGCGGAGCCCCGAGACCCGGTGGGAGAGAAGCGGTTGGAGGACCGCGCTCCGGGACGCGGGCCCGAGGCGCCCGGCGCGTCGCCTCGTCGCAGGCGGGTCTGGAAGGGGCAGCCCGGCGCCCCGCGCCCCCGCCCTCCCCGCGGGCCCGCCCGCCTTACCTGGCCCTTGACCAGGCTGGCGGCGAACTGGCGCATGACGGCCTCCACGGTGTAGGCGCTGGACCAGCCGCGCGGCGTGAGCAGCTCCATGCAGATGGCGCCGCCGTCCAGCACGTAGCCGTTCTCCAGGCGCGGGCTGAGCACCCGCATGAAGGGCGGCGAGAAGGGGAAGTTGTCGGGGAAAGTGAGGTTGAGCAGGATGAACTCGGTGTTGGTCTCCTTCATGTCCTGCCACAGCACCGAGTCCTTGTCCACCTGGTGCAGCTTCACGTTCCAGTCGAAGAGGCTCTCGTCCACCAGCTCCACGGAGATGAAGCGGTCGCTGAGACGCGCGATGTCCTGCAGCTCCTTCATGAGCCGCCGGCTGCGCACCTGCGTGCAGTGCTGCTGGCGCGCCGCGGGCACCAGGCTGCCGCCCCCCGCCGCCGCCGCCGCCGCCGCCGCCGCCGCC